ATCAAGTGCGCTGCTGCTTCGTTGCTGTGCAAGACGCAAGACGCAAGACGCAGGATGCAAGACTGCGCTGACTCTTGCAATGATGACCGCCGTGCCTGACGCTGACGCACCCGATCCGAGGGCTTGGATTCTTGATTCTGACCGCGTTCAGTCATGCAGCTTTCGACTCTTCCCTTTTCCCGACAGACCTTGAATGCTCCTTGATCCTTTCGTCGCTGTGATCGTCGTGCCCCCACACCACACAGACGTGTTGCAATGGTGAGTGGTGAATGAAGGCGAGTTGACTGATTCTTCTTGATTACCTACGGCCGCACGGCGCGTTTGTACCGCACCGCACAATGCGGTCCGCGGCATTTCGGCGTTCAGCATGAGCGCCCGGTGGCCAATCTCACGTGATCGTCGTGATTTCTTGATTCGCTTTCGTACACCGCTTCTTTAGTCACACTCACTGACTCTTGACTTGTGAGTCCTACAGCCACACCGATCCAAAGAACAGGTCAGTCATCCATCTTGGCTCAACCCGCATGCGCAGAGATTTCTCTAGCGAGGTCCGCGTCCATAAGCACGACTCCTCAAGCGACCTTTCAGCTGCTCTCACCACAGCACTCTCTCCACACCAAAGTGCCCCATTACCGTAATGTCCACATCCACGAAAGCCTCAAACGTCAGCAAGAGTGTCCTGAATTCACTCAGGCACGAGCTCAAGCACTCGGTGAGTCAGTGCTGCTTGCCTTTTGCCATGGCTAGCAACGTGTATGCAGGCAAGTGCGGTCTTTTCATCACGGAGCTCGTCAGGATGATGGAGGCATTGGCGTGCCGCGGGACCCTTGGGAATATCCTGCGGAGGGGGAGGCATCCCAGGTCCGGCAAGTTTGCCCATGAAGCGTGATTTGTGCTCACAAATCGACGCTGTCCCCTTTCAGTTCGCATCCTCCTTTTCCGCTGACACGCGTCTCCACTTCCGCTGCAATTCCATCACCCTTCCACGCACGGCACTCAGCGACGCAATGTGGCCAACGTCTCCTCCGGCGAGACGGTCTCTCCTCTCTCGCTGTACGTAGATCAAGTGGCTCGAGGTCTTGAGTCGGAGGACTCGGCAAATGCGGAGAGCAGACGGAGACTCAAGCAGCTGCGAGAGCTCGAGCTGATACTGAGGAGCAGCAGGGTGCACGCTGTGAGTATCGCACCCGGTGTTGTGCGTCTGCACTCAGACCATACGGCTCGCATCACGCGCCCGGCTTGCCAAAGTGCGAATGCTCGAAGATCAAACGAGACGCATCTCTGACCACGCTCTGCCTCGCACTCTCTTGCCTCTCTCGTTCCGCAGGAACTGCTTCAGCGGTACAATCCTACGCACGGCATGTCGGAAGCTGAGCGAATCCGAACGAGCGCGCGCGTAGTCGGCTGGGAAGTTCCGCTGGAGTATGTAGACGAAGATGGATCTCTAGCCAAGGCGGTAGCAGGCTTGGACAGCGCGGACGAGGGGCAGGTGCAAGAGAGCAGGAGGAAGGTGGAAGAGCTCAAAGCCAAGCACGAAGCCAAGGGCTACACGGGACCCTTGCCCTTCCCGCCCGAATCGGGATAGGCCTGTCCTCGTCACGAATGCGATTCCATTCACTTTGAACCGTACCTCCATGAACTGTTTTGGGGCCAGTTGCAGCACACGCGTATCTGCTCATTGAAGTCGCTCCCTGTTCGGCCCGTAGTGTTGCGTCTTGAATGAGTGCACACACCCCTCTTCGCATTTTATGGGAGAGCATGCAGCGTGATCATGTCTGATGCATACAATTACATTCGACGAGCAGCGCACCGGTGACGATCAGAGAGCATCACAGCAGGAATGCCGAGATCTGCACAGAGCGCGGCAAGGAGGTTTCAATCGTAATCGTCATCCTCTTCCAAGCTCCTCTTGAGTCCCCTCTGTTCCGCCGTCTGCGCCGCAATTACCACGGCTGGATCCGCTTGCTGCGCTGCGCTTGTCGAAGACTCCGCATTGCTGCCCACCTGAGTGCGATCCCCACCAAGTCCAGCTTCGTCTCGCGTGTGCTCATTCGCGCTCCGGACGTCACTCTCATCTGCAACCTCATCCGCGTCAACATCTTCCTCTTCGTTCCGATCTCCCCTTGCATCCTCGTCCCTCGCCCCTACCATGGTCGCCTCGTCCTCGTCCTCGTCATCTCCCTCTTCCTCTTCCTCTTCTTCCTCCTGCATCGGATCATAGCCAGGAGGTGGCTGGTTGGGAATGATGGAAAAGTCTATATTTGTCAAGGTGTGCTGAGGAGGCGGGAGACGGATTCCATAGGTGTCGGAGATCGGAGGCAAGGGCGTGGCATTGAGGCTGGATGCGAGAGAGAGGAGCATCTGCGTCGAGACAGGTGAATAGCGAAGAGATCAGTCGAGATGCGCGCTTCGTGCAACTTGGCGTTTATGACTCCGCCACAGCCAGACAGCCAGCCAGCCAGCCAGCTGAGCGTGCACAGTCGCTTACCTCCTTTTCTGTTGCTGCGCCCCTTCCTCGACCCGAATTGGCCAATTTGGCAGAGACTGCAAGCATGATATCCTCCAGACCCACTGCAGGGCTGCTAGCGGAAGCGTTCACACCGCCTGACCGAGTCGAAAAGTGAGCGTGCTCAGAGTAGATTTGAGCATCTCGCAGAATATTCGCTGCGTAACCTGCATTCAAAGAGCAGCAAAAGTCACAGGAACGAAGTCGTTGAAGTCAGTTTCAAGACGCTGCAGACGCAGGGCGGGCGTCCATCGAAATGCATTCATGGCCTGTCGAGCGTGCTGCCCGCAACGAAGTGAAGGGATGGGAAGCATGGGAACTCACGATGCGAGAACTCAAGCAGCATGCTTAGCACTGCGGGCTCGGCATCTTCGATACCCATGGAAGCCAGCAATAAAGCCATGATCCTTGCATCTCTGGGTATAAGTCTCTCTGAGTCCGCCGCACTGGCTGTCCTTTCCAGCCCAGCCCCAACTCCAGTTGCGGCACTGGGTCCGTTGGACGCGGAAGTCGATCCTCCTGCATGAGCCCCTCCTCGACCGTTCATTATGTTTGAGTCATTTGACATCGTTTGTGGCCCTTCAATCCGTTACGAGTCTAGCACGACTGAGCTTGTCGGTCTCAATTGGTGCTGTTCATTGATGGGCGATATGAGGGTGGAGGGAGCAGTGATGGGTGAATATCGTTGCGCGAGGAGGTGTTCATCCTTGATGAGGGTGCACATGCGGGCGCGCTGCATGTTGCTCGACTCAGACTGCCTGCACAGTATACCGTAGGCTGGATCATCGGCCGACTCACGTGCGCGCCTTCACTCGAGACTCCGATGATGGCATGTCGCGCATAGCTGACCTGCACACGACACGATCATCATTTGACTCGGCAAGCACCCATACCTGATCCACCTCTCTCTCGCATCAACCCTGTTCTGCCTGATCTACACTGCACATACTGCCATCCAACAGAGCGGCTCGCCGCGAGCTGATCCGCAAAAGTGACGAGAACGCCCACTCCCAACGCGAGTCTGAGCTCCACGTCTCCAGCGCCGGCGGGTCAGAATGGTTTGCGCAAAGTGCGAGAAAAAGTTGGCGGGCAAGAGCGGGGGAGCGCCACCAGATCCATTCGTGAGTAGAGTAGGCTACAGGTGCACACTCTTGCCGCCGGGCTACGTCACGTCCATCCGCTCAGAAGTTCAATCTGTCCAATCACGCGCTTCTGTAGAGAAACAGGAATGCCCAAGGCACGCTGGTATCGTCGGGTGTAGGTGGCCGCAAGACAAATGCTATAGGAGGTCCATCGCGAGCCAGTACCGGTACCCTATCAGCATCCCCATCATCCTCGAGTGGCGTGGGGAAAGCGCCCTCGTCAAACAAGCTTATCAGCTCCAAAGGAAGGTATGCGCCTACGTCTACAAAATGCAAAACTTGCGGCACGAATGCTAGTCAGGGCTTCATGTATTGTCAAGGTGAGCATGCGTAGCATGTGGTGCAAGGCGATCTGGGGGAATTCTGAGCACAGATGGCAGGCATGGGTAAAGGGCAGGCGCAAGAGGCAAGAGGCAGGAAGCGATGCAGGGACCTGGCACCGCTAGACACCTACCGTCTGGCCAGGTGTCGCTGCTCCACGTCCTTGCCATTACCAGCTCATCGCCCTGCTGATGCCTGCTCACACCTTCAGCTCGCGCGCTGATCAAATGTCGCATCTCCCTCTCACTGTCCAGGCTGCAGCTACAAGAGGGGGGTATGCGCAATGTGTGGAAAGATGATCATGGACACTTCGAAGCATAAGATGTCTTCCGTCTAATCGTCAGTCGAGTAGCGCTCATCCTTTTCGCCCGAGCTGCAATGACGTGAAATTTCGAGTCAAGAATGTCGGCAAAGTGAAGACATTTCCGCGCCTCCTCTGTCTCACAAGAGGGGGCCAAGACCGTAGCTCACTTCCAGGCCTTTGGCAGTATTGAGCTGGATTTGCATTAAATCCCGACTTGCAACAACCCTCGTGGAAGAGCAACCTGCACTGGCATGGCGTAACGGCTAGCTCCTCCCGCACTGCAGCAGGCTGCTGTCGAGGCGAATGCTGGTTTTTGGGGAAAGGAGCGACTGAGCTCCTGCATGGACGACGGCTCTTTGCATGGCCATCGAACGCCCGAATCTTGCGATCGGATTCGTCATCAAGCAAGGACACCAGGCCAAATCCGACTTCCCAACGTCCACTCTCGTCGAGCGCTGATCACGCTCAGCGGCGTCTCTTCAACTTGCGTCGTGCTGCCGCACATCTATTCCTCGGGCTGCACTGGCCAGATCCAACTTGAGTTGCGGCCAGCTTGCGCCTCGATTTGCAGCTTTGATTTTGCCCCGCATCTAAAAGCAAGCCTCTTACAGCAATGCACTCTGTAAAGGCAAAACATTCCCGAGTCTTTCTGAGGAGGCGAATGTTGCAGAGTCAAGCCTGGGTCACGTGGCAGACGTAAAGCTGCCTCCTTTTCGTTGCTCCTTCTCGTTGCCAAGAGTCCGCGTTGGGTCAGTGTTCGATGACTTGACGGGATACCTGGGTATATCGTCGACCCGTCCGCATCCTTGACACGTCGCTTCCACATCCTCTATTTCCCTCGGCGTATTTGCGCTCAGTATCACATTGCCCTCTTCAAGCACAGCAATATCATCTTCTATCCTGATGCCCATTCCTTGGAAATGTTTTGGAAATCGACTGTCGAAGGGCACGTAGACTGCAGGCTCGATGGTCAAGACGTGACCTTCCCTGAGATGCGCGGAACGATCAATGCTTGGTGTATCGTGCAGATCGATGCCTATCCAGTGGGATAGACTATGAGGATAGAGCAAGTCCATTACGCCGCCCTTGTTCGTGTCGAAGCCTAGCCTCTTGAGCTCTTGAGAGAGGAGCTCGACTGATCTGCGATGCAGCTGGGCTTGGGAGTATGCCGATGACGGAGTGGCGAGCGCTGTACACTGCTTCAGAACACCAAGCACAGCCGAGTACAGATCCTTTTGCGCGCTTGTAAAGCTTCCATCCACCGGCCAAGCTCGCGTGATATCGCTGACATAACCGTCCATTTCGCCACCCGCATCCATGCAGACCAGCTCTCCGGGTTGCAAGACGCCGTCGTTGGCGACGTAGTGGATTGTCAGGGCATTCTTCCCAGCCGCAACCACAGGAACGTAGGCTGGTCTTTGTGCCCCTCTGAGCGCTGTCTCTCTCTCGAAGACGGCCTGGATTTGCCCCTCTGTCCTACCTGCAGATGTCGCTCTCATGGCGTGTATCATGGCTGCAGAGCTGGCAACCCCAGCCCTCTTCATGATTCTTAGCTCTGCGGGTGACTTGATCACCCTCAATTGGTCCAGCATCGGCGCCAGAGGTCGGACTTTTCTGCCCTCCTGAAGCACTTTGACGACATTTTCAAAGTCGGACTTCTTGGCAAAGGCGTCGAATGGGGAGGCCGAAGTGGGGGAGAGAAAGTCGAAAATGTTTCCAGATGCTCCTCCACCAATTAGAGAAGAGCGCCGTGATGGTGTGCGCGGGAACGTCGGTCCTGAAGGCCAGTCCATGTAGAGGTGATCGACTTCGGGCACTGTGGACTTGAGATGGGCGAGCAGCGAAGCTGGCTCCATCGCAAAGGCCTCGTCCGCGCCGAAAATATCCACCGCTCCGTCCATGCCCGTTCTCGCACCATTCCACAGCTCATTGAGCTCATCCCTGGGCGGAACAAACATGGTCATCTTGTAGCCCTTTGGGCTGCTGGCCCGAGGATGCAAGATCAGCGCGCAATCCGGTTCTTGAAAGCCGGTCAGGTACCACAGGCTGGAATCTTGGCGAAAACGATAGAAGATGTTGCCGCTCATGCACTTTACACGCCCACCCATCACCAGCACGGCACTGTTCTCTGGCAGCTTTTCGCACAGCCTCTTTCGCCTTTCATGGTACTCTTGAGCGGTGATACCAGGTGTGAGCTCGTCATCTGCAACTTGAAGGCCCGAGGCCGCCCCATCGGCAGAAGCGTGCAGAGCATCGGGAGGAGCAGGCCAGTCCGCGCGACGTGGAAAGAGATGAGGATGCGTATGGGGCAGTGCTTGCCCGTAAGCACGCTGTCTACGAGGATTCGGTGCAGGGTTGAGACTGCTCGAAGGGCGGCCGAAGCTGGTGGGTATGGACGCATACAGTGGTCCAGAGGTGGATGTGCTCTGCTCATCGGAGGCATGCTTAGCTGAGGATGAATATGGTCGAGGGAGTCCTGCTGAGCGCCGCGAAGTGCCGCAGCAGGGCGCAATGGGAGCTTGCGTCGACGGCCACGTTCCGCTGGTCGTGCCGAGTCTGGAGGAACTGGTGCATCGCCGGTTGAGGGACTTGATCAGCGCAGGTGCGCTGCAGCATGCACTCATCTTCCCAATGACAGCGCTTTTGCCGCTGTAAATCGACGTGAGTGAGCCTAGCAGCGAGATCGCTGGTGCCAAGTTCCATGCATCAGCCTTGGACGGAAGGCGAGGCTCTACGTGGTGGCGAGATGGCGAGGTGGCGAGGTGATGAAGCGCCATCAGCCGCATCGCGCTGATGATGCTTTTGAGCGTGGAGCGCCGAGGAGGGTGGAGCATCCATCTTCAGCTTATCCGATTTCGACCATCGCTTCACGTGATTGCTCGCGCGTTGAAGGCTGGGGCTGTGCTAAAACTTCCAAACGCAGCAGCAGCATATACTGTGCCGTATGCACATCCACTCACTCACCCGCGATTTTTTACTTTCACGACTCATGACTTGAGCTTTAGCCTGTTGGGTTAGTCAAGTCACGAGTTTCCTCTTTTCCATTTCAGACTCGTGATGCTATTCACGAGTGTCAAGCGCCGGCGAATCTGAATGTCGTGAGAGGTCAGAAATTTCCCAGCCAGTCACTTTTACCCACATCGACCATCACCTCATTCGCACGGTGCAGCACAGTGCATCACATCACATCACAAGCTCCTTCTTGGCCGCTGCCATGCCATCCATCAACACGATGATGCATGGACAGTCGACCACCAATGCGGCCTGGCTTGCGGATCAGCAAGCTGCACGTACCACCGACGACAATCAAAGCAGCTCCGCACAGCCATCTAGCCTCGCCGCTGATACTTACCCGCTCTGCCTGTCCGAGTACACACGGTATGGCAGACAACTCATCCTGCCGTCGTGGGGTATGCCTACACAGCTGGCACTCAAACGCAGCAGGGTGCTAGTGGTGGGAGCGGGTGGATTGGGCTGTCCGGCGATCCAATACCTCGCTGCGGCTGGAGTCGGGCACATTACTGTGGTGGATCACGATGTGGTGGAGAGGAGCAACTTGGCCAGACAAATCCTGCACGATGAAGCGACTGTGGGACTGAGCAAGGTGGAGAGCGTCGAAAGAGCGGTGCAGAGGTGAAGGCGCGGTGCGATGCTGCGGTATGGCTTGCTCGCTGCTCACAATCCCTCGTGCTCCTCACAGGATCAATCCTCACGTGCGAGTAGATTCGATCGCATCCGCATTCGACAAGACGAACGCCATGCCTCTCGTCTCCTCGCACGACCTCACTCTGGACTGCACAGACAATGTTTTGACTCGCTATCTCATCTCCGATACTGCTGTGCTCTGCAGCAAGCAGGTGGTCAGCGGTGCGGCACAAGGAGTAGAGGGGCAGCTCATGGTGCTCAACAAGAATCCTCACGACTCGGACGCGGCCGCGAAAGACAGATCATCTGCAGCAGGACCAAGCAGAGGGCCATGCTACAGGTGCATGTTCCCCAGAGCACCCAGACCCGACGATGTGGTGGATTGCTCCGACGGAGGCGTCTTTGGTGGGATCACCGGTCTGGTGGGCACTCTGCAGGCCGTCGAAAGCATCAAGCTGCTCTCGGATGTGGGCGAATGTGAGGGGCTCGTGAAGTGGCTTGATTGTTCATACCTGACCCGTCACCTCTTTGCATCTTATCGGATCGAACACCAGCGACCCCTCCAAATTTGCTCCTTTGCTCTGCCTTCTCCTATCCGCCTTTTAGATCGATCAAGCTGAGACCTAGCAGACCAGATTGTCGCTCATGTGGAAACCCTGAAAATGTGGAAAGTCGCATCTCAAACCTGGCACAGGAGGATTATGCGGCGTTTTGTGGTCTCAATGACGTGCGCGGTAAGGGGGAGAGCAGAGGTGGTCGAGATCGAATATCTGTCCAGGTGAGCTGCCGAGAGCATCGTTGTATCCAGCGATGACAAGAGCTGAATATGTGGGAGCATTCGCAGGAGCTGTCTAGCATTCTGCAACACGAAGCAGACACTAATCAAGCCAATGCTCGGTCACTTTTGGTCGACGTTCGACCAAAGGTGGAGTACGGCATCGTCAGCTTGCCCAATACCTGCAGTGCGTACAGTAGACTCTTTCTTCCTCTTGCTTTCGCGGGCTCTAATCGAGTCCGCGTCTCACGATACGCAGACATACCGTACACCGACTTGCGTCGCAACCCTAGCGAGACTCTCCAGCGCATCCGAACGTTGCAAAATAGTGTTGCGCCCATCAGCAGCAGCGGCAACCCTTCGAACCATAGCACCTCGAAGCTGAACAATGCCGCATCGCAGGTGTCGCCTAGCATCTACTTGCTCTGCAGACGCGGCAATGACTCTCAGATTGCCGCTGATCTGCTTCACAAGGCTCAAGTTGAGCAAGCGCCTACGACAGGCAATGAAGAGGTGCACACTCTCGCTGCGCAGCGCTCAGACGAATTCACCTTTGTAGACGTGATCGGCGGACTGCAAGCATGGAGCAAAGAGGTCGACCTGAGCTTTCCAGTCTATTGACAACAGTGTGTACATGTATGCATGCATCCATTTTATGGTGTCTCATGCGCGTTGTGAAAGTGTGTGGTGGCTACTTGCCAGGATGAATGATGAGTCACCTAACGAAACGTTGAAAGCAGTCCCGAAGCGTGTGAGATCGAAGAGAGATGACAGCTAGGATACATGTGCTAGGGGCTATGTGATGATCGGAAGAGAAGTCGAACGTCGATTCTTTACGACTGAACGTGCATTGAAAACTTCAAGGGCGCTTGGGGGCAGGGATCAAGACCGGACGAACCAGCGCTCCGGAGGCGGTGACAACAGCGGCAGGCTCGATGGGCCTAGGGGTCAGACGATGCTCTTCGATTTGTCTAGGTTGACTCGTCGAAGGCATGGAGTACATGCGTAGAGGTCTGTGGATCTCGTGATCAGGTGCGTCCTCGTCCATGGAAGGAATGCGGGAGCGGATGCTGGATCGACGAGAGCCCGTCGTCTTGCATGGAGGAAGGTAGCTCGAGCCGCTGTTGCTGCTGCTCGATCCCGTCGTCATCTTGATGGATGTGGGGAAGTTTGGTAGGTTGTCGGGATCAGGAATGAAGTGCTCCAGAGCAACAACGAGCGATTGAGATTCAAGGTCCTCGCGAAGGACATCCTCCTGGATGTTCGACGACGTTGGCATGACTGCGACTTCAGTGAGCTTGTTGATGAATGTCGCGCGTGCAGGTGAAATGGCCTTTGGTGCGACGAGTCTGGGGGCGGGTGTGGCAGGTGTGGGTGGAGGAGCGTTATTGCCAGGCTTTGTGTCGCGGGCTCGGCCGAGTGCCGTTGCAAAAGCACCTCGCAGAGATGGAGGAATTTGGCTCGACGTCGGCTTGTCGCGAGCCATCGTCACGACCGACGGAAGAGCGCCGGGAGTGGCTGCAATCAGGCGCAGCTTGGACTTTGCGGGTCGTGCAGGGACTTTGCCATTGCTTGCAGGACCGAGCGCCGAGCAGGTATGCTCCCTCACCTTTGCGCTGTCCTCTGCTTTATGGGGACCCCAAGATGCTGGTCTGGATAGCGTTCGCTCTTGATGGGCACCAGATTCCATCCTGTCGCGGGCTGTAGCCTGAAGAATGTCGCGTGGGGACAATGGGCCTCTGGAATCGAGACTGTGGATGAAGCGATCGGAGGCGATCGAGGGACCAGAGTTGTAGACTCCGCTGACTGTGTAGCGTCTGCGCGAAGCATCGCCACCGTCGTTCGAGGACTTCTTCTGCTCCTCGAGGTCTCTCTCCATTTGTAGTCTCACCGCAACGTGAGCAGGTGGGAGAGGTGAGAGGGGTGCAGCGCATGCATGCGAGCTTTCGGTGCGCTGGACGATCAAGGACGAGCCCAGCTCGAATGGTGATGCTCGCTCAGTCTTTGAAAGCTCCGACGCATTAAGTTCTGCCCAGTGTGCTTGGCCAAGCAGCTGCGGCTTGCCAGGCTGGGTGGGTGCGTGGTCTACGAGAATAGAGGGACTGCCTAGCGGTGGGGTAGGCGCAAGGCTTCGCTGGATAGCTAGCTCTATATGAGTTTGCGGCTGTACTGGAGCGCGTAAAGCTTTTGCGAAGCGGGAGTGTGCTGCCTTTACAGCTGCTGGGACTTCAACCTCGTCCTTGCGAGCCCTCTCCTGGGCAGGACTGCTCGCAGCGTAGCGGTTGGGCGTCACGGTGCCGTCACTCTGGTCGTCTCGGCAGTCATCCAGTGCGGCAAGCTTTGCAAAGTACGAAGAGCGCAAATTGTTTGATGGCTCTGCGCAATCTTGTCCGGCGTGTGAGTCGCAAACGGTGTCCAGGTTCATCTTGGCCTCGTTGGGGCTGCTGTGGTCCGTGGGATTGCCAATCTCCAACGGCGAGGATTCGGAAAAGCTTGGCTGAGCTTGATGCATGCACACTGCAGAGGCTTCAGCTTCCTGTGGCGCTTCGGATCTCAGACTCAGGATGGGATGCCCTTTGCCCAGACGGCGCGCGCGCAGTCCTGATTCTTGAACTGGTAGCTGTGACACCTTGCTATAGCCAAGGTCGGGCAAAGCAATATCGGCAGTAGACACGGCAATGTCGGATCGACCCAAAGGTGCTACGGTCACCACAGCAGTGTTGCGAGCCGCGATAGCTCGGGCTGGAAGGTGGCACACTTCGACCGAGGACTGACTGCGAGGGTGACGAGCAAGAGGCACAGAGGCAGGTTGCTGCTCGTTGATCACGCAGGTGGTGACGTCGCTTCCGATCGCACTGACTGCAATGATCTCCGCGCTTGAGCTTGGTGACGAAGCGACTGGCTGCGACACAGCTACGAGGGGACTCTGGGCGAGGTACGCGGGAGGATTGACGGGCGAAGCTGAACCAGATCGAGGTGGTAGTGAGTCGAAGCGATCTGTTGGAGGCGTGGAGGGTACGTCGACATCAAAAGCAGGTCCTGAGCATTTGGCGGGCAGCTGCTGCTGAGCGCTCGGGTTGGGAATGACTGGAACGCCCATCGAGAGTCCCAAAGCGCTGTTGCCGAAACCAGTCGCGACCGACCTTGCAGGAACGAGCTGGCTGACGTGACGAAGGGACGCGTGCGAAGTCAGAATGAACGAATCGCCGGCGTTGCCCAGCACGGAGCCATTGCAAGCAACGGTCGAAGTGGCTCGATATCGCGGTGATGTAGGCTTGGAAGTGCAAGGCGACGTCATGACGGTGCTGGTTGGGCTCACACAAGCCGAGTTGAGGCCGAAGGTGTCAGTCTCGTAGGGGCTGGTGCCAGCGGTGCTATCAGAGCTGGAGCTCTCGCTGCTGTGTTCACGCTTGAGGCTCGGTGGGGCAGGGCGCTGGATGCAGCAGTATCCCGAAGCAGATGGACGTCTGTTGATAGGATCGTCGGCATGGGCGAAAGCAGTGCCGTGCCTCTCTGCCTCTTGCAGCCAGTCGTAGCGACTCTTGTTCTGCTGGGTCAGCTGACACGAGCTGGACCTTTTTGGCACCTTTGGGTATGCTGGTCGAGGTTGAATGGCAGACTGCGGGACGGCCATGTGTGGGTCGGTGACCGACGTGGTGAGGGCAGGCTTGCTCGCACCAGATCCATGGTGCATGGCATAGTATGGAGTGGTAGCGGAAGCCGTAGATGTCGGTGCCCTCAGGGCGAAGCAAGGTCCCATGCGTAGCTTGGCTTGGTGATCAGCCAGCACGCTTGAGCTGCGTGGACGAGGGGATGGGTGAGATTTTGTCACCTTGACTTCTGATTTGTGCGCTTCGCTCGGAATGTTGCGTGGTGGAACCGATTGAAGAGTCTGGTGAGCGCCAGAAAAGGGCAGGTAAGCCTGCTCGAAGGCGGTCACCGGTCCAGCGGCCTCGCCAGAGATCCCGTGAATTGCACCGTAGAATGGCATTGCGCGATCAGTAAAGGTGGACTTTGTTTTTGATTGTGAGTTCGTCTCCCGTCGACGATGGTGTGTGCGCAAAAAGCTGTCACTGGGAGGACCAAAGCAATCGCACGCTAAAGAGGCGTAAGGAGCCTATGCGATCCAACCGCTGACGGCTATCTCGCAGTCTCGTTCGAGTGACTACTCACCTTGGGTGCTGAAGGTATGTCGTCAAGAGTAGTTCGTCTCGAGTGAGTCGTGTAAGCGTCGTCGTCGCTGCAGCTGGGTAGCTAGAGGTAGAACGGGAAGAGAGTGATGAGGAAGGAAGGACGATAGAACTTCAAGATGGTATACTTATACACCCTTGACATCGTCCACACTTGCAACAGTTTGAGCTATTGGGTGACGTGCACGTCCAAGAGTGCGCAGCACGCGCTGAGAACTGCGAGAGCGCGGAAGCATCTATGCATCCGAGGCGATTGCTTGTCTCAGCTGCCGGCTCCCTCCAACACGGGTGATATGTGAGGGAGATTGAGCGCACTGCCGCAGCAACATCTGGTCAGTCAGAGCGAGCGCGGCTGGAACTCGAATCAGCCTGTACCAAAGTGAAGGTTACGGATCCAAGCAGACAGGGGAAAGACGCCGAGTCATGGCGAGCGCCCAACTCAAAGCTCTGCTGCTGAAGTGCGGAGTACCGCACCGGTGACTTTCTCGAATCGAATCGCATCGCCCGCATGCGATAGCATCTTCGATGGCAGATGAGGGGAAGCAAAGATTGGTTCCGTGTTGTGAGGTAGCAATTCATAGGCGCAAGGAGCTGGCCGTTGCTTGATACCGGCGAGAGACGCCAGTGCGTGCGTACCAGCAGGGGGAGCCCGGCCTGTACGCGCATCCAAGTTGCCTGGATGGTCGTGATGGTTGCATGCATGTGGAAGGTGAGGGCATCAGCTGCCGACGGGGCGCGCGCGGGTGCAAACCTCGACGCGCGCGCGCGGCGCGCCTGCTTCAACGGCTGCCTACTCCGTGCAGAACTCTCGCCAGCTTTGCTCACTTTGCTCTTGCCCAACCAGACGTGGGGGCAGCAGTGCTGTGCAATATGCATCGTGATTCTTGATTGTGCCCGATATGATGAGACACACAGACAGATCATACGTTTCCTGCAAAGTGGCTGTCGCAGACGCGAGATGAAGAGAGAGAGAGAGAGAGAGCTTTCCGTCGCCGGGCTGATGAATCTTGAACGGATCCTCGTTTCCCTGCGCCGGAAGGTATTGGGCGTCACGTGATACATGCCTCACTGGTTCTTTGGCTCCGCTCCGCGGGCGCGGATGCTTCACTCGGCCGGCAGCAGTCTGCAGAGATCTGTTGTAAGCTTTCTTCGGATCCAGATCGAGCTCATGGCGGCAGCGCTTATACGAGCTACAGATGATCTGCTTGGCTCACGTCAGGAAGGCATGTCTCCCTCTCCACCTAGCGTCGAATACCGCCTTTGAATAGCGCCAAGATCGCTCGAGCCTAGAGCAAGCTACGAACATGGTCTTCCTCCGCTTTGCTCAGGCGGCGAGACAGCCCATTTCCTCTCTGCCAAGCACGAGCACTGCTAGAACGTTTTCTGCCCTGGCACCAACAAGGTCCATCTATGTCGGTTGCGAAGCATCGGCAGCTCCCTCATCGCTGCGAGCACAAGGTCGCTGTCAAGCAGCTGAGAGTACGAGATCAAACCTGCTGCACACACAAGGAGGGCGTTCAATTTTGAGAAATCAAGGAAAAGGCACAGGGTTCTCTTCAGCCGTGCCCAGCGGCGCACGCACTCTGTCGCTGTGGTCGTTTGGGAGATCCGGCAACAACTACGAGGCTGCCAAGGAAGCAGGCGCCAGCAGGGCACACTCGGGGGAGTTTGCAGCAGCCGATGGAGCCTACGTCCCACCACAGGGCGCAGAGGCAGCGTCAAGAGGGACGCCAGACGCACCTGCCACGTTGGGAGATGCTCTGCAAAGCTCGCGCGAGGCGGTCGGAGACCTGGCGCATCAGATTGGGGATGCTGCACAAGCGTCGAGCAGTGGAGCCCTGAATAGTGGTGCGGACGGCGCCGCATCAATGACGGCGCTCTCGGATGGGGTCACTGGGCTGGCCCAACAAGCGGTGCAGCAAGCTGAGCTTATAGACTTGGCAGCCATTCAACAAAATCACTGGTTTCTGGTGTCTAGTGCACAGGGGCTACTCGAGAACGTACACATTTGGACAGGGCTACCCTGGTGGAGCACCATCGTGCTCACCACCATTGCCATGCGTCTCATGATTTTACCCATCACTGTGCGGGGTCAGACCAGTGCCGTCCGCTTGGGTAACATTCAGCCCAAGATAAAAATTGTAATGGCAGACATGGAAAACGCCAAGAAGAGCGGCGACATAATGCTGCAAGCAAAGAGCCAGAAGGCGATGGTCAAGCTATTCAGGGACAACAATACCCACCCCTTCAAGCCCCTAATGACTCCCCTTGTTCAAAGCCCGTTGTTCGTTACTTTCTTCTTGGCAGTACGAGGAATGGGCGGAGGAGGCTTGTCGACGATGCAGGATGGAGGATTCAGCTGGGTCACAGATCTTACAGCGGCGGATCCGTACTATGTCCTTCCCGTCTTGGGTATGCTGGCGACTTGGATCACCTTGGAGACCGGTGCCGAAATCAGTGGAAATCCGCAGACTAGCAACAACATCGCCATGCGAAATATACTGCGAGGCGGGCTAGCGCTCTCCTTCTTCTTCTTCTATCATCTACCTGCTGTGAGTTTCATGGCGCTACCACCCATTTCTCAGTCCGTCCGCATGCTCCGTGGCTCATCAGACTTGACCGACTTCGACAGGCGGTATGGGTCTACTGGGTAACCAATAACACCTGGTCTATCGCGCAACTCTTCTTTCTGAATTCAAAGGCGGGCCGAACACTGTTCAACATTCCAGACCGTGCTCATCAAGACAAAAGAGTGACAGAAAAAAAAATTCCTCTGAAGCAAGCTTTCACAGAGTTTTTTGAGAACTCCGTTAACGCCTTCCGCGGAGCGACAGGACAAAAACCTATCGCGCTGACGCGGTCTCGACCAGCGCCCAGAAGGTCGCAACAGGGCCTGTCCCCGGACAGAGAGGCGGCCCTGCGGTCGTTCAGCGGAGAATCATCTCCATTGCCATCACCTCACACAGCGTCCAAGCAGTCAAGTGATTCCCAAGCCGCGCAACAGCAACAAAGACCTTCGAGTGACTTGTTCGATTCCGACTTCACCGCATCGGGAGAGAATCAAAAGAGGGGGAGCGCAGAAGCGAGACCGCTCCGAACTGCCCAGAGTCCGAGCGAGCGGGCCGAAAGAGAGGCGAGAGCGCGAGAGGAGAGGAGGCAAGCTGTCGCTGCAGCGAGCGCGAGGCATCAGCCAAAGCAAAAGAGGCGAAGTTAGACGCGATTGGCCTTCGTTGACATATCGTCTCAGCCCTTGTATCATGTTGCCCGTTCACTCTTCCTGGGAGTGGCCACGGGATGGTAGCCATCGTCTTTCCATCACGGCGCAATATCACACAAGTCTTTGGGATCGCATATAGCACAAGCACGTTGCAGCCGGATGTCTGGTGTTGTTTACAGGATGTGACGTGAGGAGTCTCAAGGGGCCAAGCAACGGAGCAGAGGTAGTCGGTCAGTGATGATTGATGTGAGGCAAATCACAAAAGGTCAAAGTCGTCCAGCTCCCCGCTGTACTTCTTGATGGTGCGCTTGACGGCAGACTGATCCACCCACGAGACGCTGCACAAAAGGAAGCGGTAAGAGGAACACGCGAGTGGTGTGAGCATGCATGCGTTCCGGGGCGTCGAGGGGTTCCACAAATGCTGGTGAACGGTTCACCACTTACAAGTCTTCCAAATTCCGCGTGACTGCAAAGGCTGCGGTCAGTGCAAGGGAAAGATCAGCCTCGAGAGTCAGTGCTGGATTCAGGCGCCAGACGCGCAAGAGGAGAATCGGATCGCGCCACACACCTGGGTCTGTGATGACATCTGTGCCAACCCTGACTTGGCCTTTCTCTACATGCTCTACAGCCTGTAGCGACGGACAGAGAGCAGTGATGCTGTAAGCACGAGCGACATCGCATCAAGTTTACCAGGACACGTAGCAGTCTGATACGAATCCTGCTCGGTGGTAGACTTACCTGTTTCACCGTTTCGCTCATTTTGAGCCCGACCATGACCACCGGCAATCTCCTTCGAGCGAAGCTAGAAACGTTGAGCTTCTCGAGCACGTCGCTCATCTTGGCACCAGTAGTCAGCAAGCCCATATCGTACAGCTTCGCAAGCAGGCTCTCCTCTTTGGCGTGCCTAAAAGGGTCCTGAGCTGGCAGCGTGGATAAGCGAAGAGCCAAGTGTCGTATCCTTCCCAAAAGCTTGTTGTAGCGATGATAGTCGTCTCGGTCCTGGATATGGTAGCGGCGCATCACCTTCACCTCGCGCTCATTCGCATCGCTCTTCCAATTCAGAAAGTCGTGCTTCTTGAGCAGACGCTGCTCATGATGCTTCAATTGTCGCATCTTGCCTGCGACGTTCTTTGGCGCGGCTGTGCAAGAAGAATCGACTGAGTGACCTTCGCTGGCCAGTAGTAGCGGTGGGAACCTGAGCGATGGAGTAGAGGCATGCGCCCTTGGCGCGCCGTCGAGTCTGCAAAAGTGCTGGTAGTAGTTGCGCTGAAAGGAGCATCACTCGAGTCACAATTGCGACTTTGGATCTCGACTTTGACTGGTCCATCCTGCTGCATGGAGGATGCTGGAGGGCATCCAAGGTTCGAAATTCATCAAGACAAAGACCCCACCAAAATTTAATCTAGTACGCAGGGTCACGTGATGCGCCCACGCATGCAGGCGGATCATGCTCGCGGCGCGGAGACCGTGCGCTGCTGGACCGCGCGCTTGCATCGTCGCGCGGCTTGGGAAAAGCCGTGCGTGCGCGTGAGCTTTTGCTGCATATCGGTGTGCAGCCGTGCAGGCCGTGTGCCGCATCAGCTGCGACAGCAAAAGCAGGCACGACCCACGAGCGACCAACCCGTCGTGGACGCCGAACCTCACTCACGAATGCGTCACTCATTCTCTCATCATCATCATCGTCATCGTCAACAGTCACGAGTCGCAGCGAGATTCCAAGGAAGGCTCCCACTCGGAGACAATCGCTCAAAATGTTTCGCACCGCAGTCGCGCCGCTGCTCAGGCAATCGGCCACACTATCGGCTTCGAGAGTCGGCCTGTCACCCAGAGCTGCCGCTCCCTTTTCTACCAGTGCCCTGCGAGCCAGCTATGAGGACACGATCAAGAACCTGCTGATTCAAAAAGACTCCAAGGTGAGACACATGCGGGCCCTAACTGCTTATCGCGAGCATTCATCGACGCCTGCGTCTCGTTTGTGCAGGTCATCTGCCAAGGCTTCACCGGAAAGACTGGTACCTTTCACTGCAAGCAGGCCCTCGAATATGGCACCAAGCTCGTCGGAGGTGTCTCTCCAAAGAAGGCCGGTCAAGAGCACTTGGGCTTGCCAGTGTTTGGAAGCGTTAGAGAAGCTGCGGATAAGACCAAGCCCCACGCTAGCGTGCTTTACGTTCCTCCCCCTTTTGCTGCCGATGCCATCATCGAGAGTATCGAGGCAGAGATCCCGCTCATCGTTGCTATCACCGAAGGTATTCCTCAAGCTGATGAGATCAGGGTGAGTAGCGCCTATGTGCTGAGGATCGATGAGCGCGGGCGAAACATCCCACTCAGTGATAAACGCCTTGATCCTTTGCACCCATCAGGTCGCGCATGCACTCAAAGCGCAATCCAAGTCTCGATTGGTTGGACCGAACTGCCCAGGCATCATCAACCCCGAAGGCTGCAAGATTGGCATCATGCCAGGTCACATTCACTCCCCGGGTAAGATTGGTGAGTAGGATATGCTTGCAATTGGGACCATGTCGCGCACCTCAATCGCTCTGACGGGCCCCATCTGGCACACATTCTCTTGCGCAGGCATCGTATCGCGTTCGGGCACCTTGACATACGAGGCTGTCAACCAGACGACCAATGTTGGTTTGGGACAGTCGATCTGCGTGGGTATCGGAGGAGACCCTTACCCTGGCTCCACAACATTGGACCTCGTCAAGCTGCTCCTCGACGATCCCAAGTCTGAGGGTCTGGTTCTGATCGGAGAGATTGGCGGCTCGATGGAAGAGGATGCAGCAGAATATTTGGAAAAGTACAACAAGACCAGAAAGAACCCCAAGCCCGTAGTTGCTTTCATTGCTGGTAGAACCGCTCCTCCCGGCAGACGTATGGGTCACGCAGGTGCGATCATTGCCGGAGGCAAGGGTGGAGCAGACGACAAGGTCAGAGCGCTGGAAAAAGCCGGTGCTATCGTCGCTGACAGCCCAGCCAAGATCGGTGAACTGTAAGTGCGAGGTAGGCAAATGCAAGCTAAGTATTCATCTGACAAGGCGCTCTGCCTCTCATTCAAACAGCATGAAGAAGGCGATGCAGGAAGCAGGTCTCGCGTGAGGCGCTCGCTCGCACGGCCTTTGTCTTCTACCACTTTGACGCACGGAATAGAAACACGATCTGAACCAGCTGTAGCATGGACTCAGGTGCCTTTGTTGGCCACGAACGCTGCTCAGGGCGACTAAGCTTCGAATGCCGCTCGCCATGCGCCAGCGCGCCCACAACAAGAGTTTAGCGTCTAGAGAAAAAGTATACATTTCGTTGATGAAAAGATGGAGGTCAAATTTGTATGACGTCTCGCACGAGCTCTTGCGGCACGAGCGATCCTTTGGCTCGCAGTATGGCAATTTTCTCATCAGCCAGCGCCTGAGCAGGGGGTATCCTGAGTCTTTGCCTCTCCCACGCCGCTCTGCCCCACGCCCACATCAGGTCGAGCAAGAGTGAGCCTTGTGCGAGACCCCAGACTAGAGTGATCGCATCTGTGGTTCCAGCGAGCAGGTGTAGCAGGGAGAGAATAGAGCTCAGCACCAAAAGACAAGCATCAGATTGCTGCGCGCGCTCGCGACTCTGCGGTGCCTTTGAACGAAGGAGGAGCTAAGCTGAACACACTCACAGTAGAAGTTGGCGTTGCCTGAACCTGCCTGAAGCCACAAGTGGTGAAAGGTGGGAAGGAGCAGAGTGGCGTAGAGGTACAGAAGCACGGACACTATAGGATAGCGCAAATCTGAGGCAGCACAAGGTGCGTGGAGGGACGTGTGAGCTTGGTGGATGCTTTCGCATGCAGCTTGCAGAGAACCTCTTCGAGCTTGAGCAGTGCGTACTTACATGGCAACAAATCCACATGGAGAGCCACGAGCGCCAGGAAAAGAGAAGTGTCGCCCATTGTTGGGTAGCTCTTGAATGCGCTGATTACCCCACTCAGAGCGGTGACAGCGAACAAAGGGTCCGAGCTGGGCAAAATCTCGTCATTGAAGTATCAGCTCTCTCCCTTGTGCCTTAGAAGCCGAGAGTCACTCACGAATACTTGATAGTCATGGGAGCGGTATAGGAAGCCAGATGGACGTTGAAGACAAGCAAGAAGAAGTTTCTGAAATGATCAAAAATCTCGATGAAGAAGTACCACCACAGGCCAATGTTGGGCGTCAAGTCGGGGAGCAGGATGACGGGGCTGTATACGCGCTCCAAGAATCGCCAAGATGAACCAGAGAGGTGATAGGAGGCGTAAAGCCCTCCGCTTAGCGTTGCGAGAAGTGCCAAAGAAGTCAAGGAGGCATGCAAAATCGGCCGTGCCGAAGGTGATCGTTGAGCGCAGAGCATCAGTAGTGGAGGCGCGAGCAGAATGGGAGTCAATGATGACAGCGTTGCGCCGGCTAGAGCAGTCGTCGTCAGTAAACGAGAGCCTGAGCAAGGGGCGTGAGAGATTGAATCAGCGATTGAGTTGGACCGCTGCTTGGGCAGAGCCAGCTCGCCGATTGCTGAACGGCTCACCTGTCAGTGCACCGAGTGTGCTGAGCAGGACCAGAAGATTGTTCAACTGTGACGCTGATTTGGCGAGGCATGAGGCAATGGTGTGAGGAGAGAAGAGGTATCTGTGGAGAGATCCGGGTGTCAAAAGCCTTGGCCATGAGCATGAAGTCGGCGATGATTTCTTCGAAGACTCGTTGCAGTGCCGCCGTGTCTTCTTCAGGAGTCCGCAAACGACTGCTCTATAGCACTCACAATGCAGCAGCGACATCAGGACCAAGCGTAGGTGAGCCTTGCGACATTCCCTTGACGCTGTTCCTGCTTCGCACAGCTGCGCAGCTGGCCAGCACCAGTCCCGCAACCAAGTCTACCGTGGCCCATAACCAGATCTCCTTGTGCTCGTCTCCCAAGAATGACTTGAGCACATACACCAACAACGGTGAGACGGGATTATCGCCAGCGTAAGGATGAGCATGTGATGAGGAGCCTGCGGCTTTCCATCGCGAATGCAGCCATGACGCTTCCCGTAGAGCGAAGAGGGAACTGATGGGCACTGATAGCTCTGGTCTGCGTGCCAGCTCCAAAGACTTGAAAAGGGGAGAAAGAAGCACGCGCAGCGCTGTCGCTGATATGAGCACAACGATGAGACGTGTGAGCGTTGCGGATGAGGACGACATTCTTGATCGTGGCTTGCAGGAGGTCCAGCTTGTTGGTGAGGCAGAATGGTCCGCGTGCCAAGCGCTCACAGCGCCTGTAGCTTGGACTGATGAAAGTTGAAGCGGCTTTGCAAAGCACCTGCACTCATCCAGAATGAGCCGCGCGAGTCCAAAAGACCCAGAAATTGAATGGTGGTGAGGAGCGCCTCTGAACGTCGGCGACGAACGAGCATAACGCATGCCTCCATCACCATCAACTCGATGCACCTTTCACTTCTTCCCGAGCTGCTGACTGGTCCCCGTGCATGCCGCACAGGTGAGGATGCACGCATGCATGGCGTAGATGGATGGACGTGCACGCAGCAGGCGGCGGGGGGCTTGAAACCTTGAACGAGCGCGCACGTGAGGCTGTGCTCGCGGTCCCAGCTAGCATACACATCCATGCATGTGCAAGTCTGCTGGAGGTCAAAGCCATCCGAGCGGCACCCATAGGTCTCGGCATGCCTGGCGGTCATCGCGAATGTGAACACCTGTGTTCTCCACCACCTTTATTCGCACCCCTCTTCATCCACTCTTTCCGCTGCCGTGCTGCAGTTTGGGGACGATTTGTTCGCCTCATCATGTTTGCCAATCTACCCGAAACAGAGAGGGAAGCATTCAAAGGGCTGCTGGATGAATACTTTGCCTCCCGTTCGCACCTGCTAGCATCTGCCTCGACGTCCGCAGCCACATCAAGTACACAAAGTCCCGTGCAGACGTACAATCAGATATCAAGTTTGGCCAATAGAGCGAGTCAGTTGGGCGTTGGTCAGAACGCGGGCAGCAGTGGACCTCCTCCACCTCCAGCAAGCCGTAAACCTGGGTCAGCACCTTTGGCGGGACTCAGCACTGGCAAGGTGAGCAGCGCTTTGCGGTCAAGTCGCATGCTCGAGAAAGGTGTGGCTACCTCGAGGCGGATGTAGCCGCGTGCCACTCGCCTGATGCTGGCACAGGAATCTACTGAGACCTCTTTTCTGCCAGCGATCGCAACTCGAAGCTGACGCATATACATTCGCTCGCACAGGCCATCGGCGGCTTGAACACGACTTCGAAAGCTGCAGCTTTTGGATCAATGTTTGGGGCATCGAAGAAAGGTGAAGCAGCCAGCCAGGATGCGTCGCCTCCTCCTCCCACTCGCTCCGCAGCACCACTACCGCCAACTCGGAGAGGCCTAGGTAGAGCAGTCGCCCTGTACGAGTGAGTTGGTTCATCTTCTCCATTCTGCAGCGAGTCGACCGTTGTGCTGTCACTTGTGCATCAGAGCTGACTTCTCTCACGTGCGACCGCTCGCAGCTACGATGGGACAGAAGCGGAAGATCTGCGGGTAGGGGAAGGGGAAGAGGTGGAGCTGATCGAGAAAGTGTCAGAGGATTGGTGGAGGGCCAAAAGCTCGGAGGGAAGGCAAGGCATCGTACCCAGCACATATCTCCGACTCTTGTGACATCCGCGACTCTGCAATCGCATCGGGCACTGTTGACCTGACTGTTCTGCCAGGAGGGGTTGCTCTTTTGCGCTGCGTGCGATGCGATGCGATGCGGTGTGGTGCGGTGCGGTGTTGTCAGGGCGCTGCGCGACCAGAGGTCGACGAAGGAGCCAAAAGCGGGCGAGCAGAACATCTTCAGCTTTCCGCTCACATCATCAGTGAATGCAAGAAGGAGAGCTGCGGCGAGATCGAGCTGTGCGCATGGTCTTGTGTGCGGGTGACCTTTCAGCAGCCAAGGCAGTTTGAAGACTTGATTGAGTGGGTGAGTG